TGGCTTCTGATGGTTTGCATTCCTTGGCTTATGTATCACCTGGATCTCTGCCTTCTTCCTGTGTACAAGACCGTGAGTCCAAATTTCTTCTTTTTATAAGGACATAGTTCTATTGGGCCCACCCTAATGACCTCATTTTAAGTCAATTAGCTCTGTAAAGACCCTACTTTTATTTTCTTTTTTTCCAGTCTTATTGAGATAAAATTGACAAATAAAAATTGTATATATTTAAGGTATAAAATGTGATGTCTACATATATGTGTACATTGTGAAATACGTACCACAACAAGCTAATTAACATACCCTCATACCCTCACTTAGTTATCTTTTTTTTTTTTTTGGCTGAGAACAATTAAGATCCACCCTCTTAGAAATTTCAAGTACATAATACAGTATTGTTAACTTTAGTCACCCTGCTTTACCTTATATCTCCAGAACTTACTCATCCTACCTGTGTGAAATTTTTGTACTCTTTCACGAACATTCTCCCATTTCCTCCACTCCCCCCTTGGCAACTACCATTTTACCCTCTGCTCCTCAGAGTTTGACTTTTTTAGATTCCACATTTAAGTCAGATCATGCAGTATTTGAGACCATATTTTTAAATACACATTCTGAGGGGCACCTGGGTGGCTCAGATGGTTAAGCGTCTGCCTTCGGCTCAGGTCATGATCCCAGGGTCCTGGGATGGAGTCCCACATCGGGCTCCCGGCTCAGCGGGGAGCCTGCTTCTCCCTCTGACCCTCTCCCCTCTCATGCTGTTTCTCTCTCGCTTGCTCTCTAAAAAATAAATAAAATCTTTAAAATAAATAAATAAATAAATAAATAAATACACATTCTGAGGTACTGGTGGTTAATGCTTTAACATGAATTTTGGAGGGACATAATTCACCCTTAACACCTGTATTTTTCACTTGAAAGTGTGAGACAAGCATTTACATTCATTACATAACTATCACATAATTTTATTTATTTTTTTTTAAGATTTTTTTATTTATTTGACAGAGAGGGACACAGCGAGAGAGGGAACACAAGCAGAGGGAGGGAGAAGCAGCCTTCCTGCCGAGCAGGGAGCCCGATGTGGGGCTCGATCCCAGGACTCTGGGATCATGACCTGAGCCAAAGGCAGACGCTTAACGACTGAGCCACCCAGGCGTCCCACTATCACATAATTTTAATGATATTAGAAGGATATCCACTTAACCCAGTTCTCTACTATTGATAATTTATGTTTCACTTTTGCAACACTGTCATTACAATGAACACTTTTGTGCATTGCCTTTTTGATATTATTTCTTAGAACAGATACCTAGAAATGAAATTGTCAGATCACTTTAAGGCACTAGATGCGGGCCACAAATTGTTGCAAGTATAAGAGGCATTTCTTGCCTTATTAGTAGATTGTTTATTAATTATATTTTTTCTTTGTGAATTATTCCTTTAAGTTATTTGCCTTTTTAATTTTAGAGTCTGAATATTTCTCTTACAATTCATATAAACTCTTCGATAGCGAAAATGATACTTTTTCTTCCATTTTTCTACAACTATTTATTCATTTATCTTTTGACCTTTAATTTTGGTCTTGTTTCCTTTTCAAATCACAGGAGGTTTGTTCTTATTTTCCTTGGTGTTTCTTTTATTGCTTCAAAGCTTAGCTTGTCCTTTTCTCAGAGTTTGTTAAGTATGTAATTCTGCCTTTTCCTGGGTGTTTCTGTTGGGTTTAAAAATATTTAATTCTAGGGGCGCCTGGGTGGCTCAGTCGTTAAGCGTCTGCCTTCAGCTCAGGTCATGATCTCAGAGTCCTGGGATCGAGCCCCACATCGGGCTCCCTGCTCGGCTGGAAGCCTGCTTCTCCCTCTCCCACTCCCCCTGCTTGTGTTCCCTCTCTCGCTGTGTCTCTCTCTGTCAAAAAAAAAAAAAATTTAATTCTAGTCACATATACTTCTGTATACTTCTAAATATATTTTTTTTCATGGTTTATATCCTTTATTTTCCAAGAAAATTAATTATAATGACTCAGTATTCATTAGCTAAAGCAATGTCTAACAACGGATGAACAAAGATGATTTATTTTTCTGAATGTACAAAATTCTGTCTCTTGAAAAAATTTCAACCACATAACCTCCCTTTTGACAATGTTGTGAAATTGTCCTGTGATTTCTTTCAGATATTTATAAACTACACCATAGGAGATAAGTTATTTTTTTAATAATACAGTATAATGAACATCTTGTTCATGCAACTGTCCATGTACTTAGCTCTCCCTACCAAAGCCTATCAGTGCTTAGAATTGTGCTTGGTTTAACAAACATCATATATACAATCTAACAACCCCTAAATAGTTATCAGTTTATTAAACTGTTGAGAAGTGTGGGGAAAAAACTTCTAAATATATTTAAATCTAAGTTACCTGGAATTTGTTTTGCTAGATGGGATGTTGTGAGAATCATTTTGTTCTTTTGTTGCTGAATTGGTGGTTCCAATTAGTTAATTACTGCCTTCCTTGGTGATTAAAGACATCTCATATATTGAATAAAATTATTTTGGGATAGAGCTCTGTTACACTGAGATTTTATTAAAGATTTGTATAGTATGTTTTAATATCTGAAAAGAACATTCTTCTCTCTTCCTCTTTACTCCTTTTTGCCGCCAGGATTTTCTTTGGCATTTTTACAAGTGTATTTTACAAGGAACACCTGTGTGCCATCTCCTATATTTAATTGTTTTTTATATTTACAAGGAATATAACTTGAGAAATATTAAATAGCTATATATTTAATCTTTCAAGTGGTAGGTATTTTTCTATATTGTTTCAAGTCTTCTTTTATGTCTTTTATAAAGACTTGTCCTTCATATAATTCAGACAAGTTACTATTGTTATTCCTCACGTGCATGTATTAGTTTCTGATAATTTTTCTTTGATTATTTTTGCTATTAACAATGAAATTTTTTACTGTGTTTTATTATTGCTCATTCCGCTCCCCAGGAATATTGTTGATTTGTGTTTATCTTACCTGCAGTTGCTTTACGCAACTTTATCAAGTGTAACATTTTTAGTGGATTTATTTACATTTTGTGGGCAAGCAATTCTATGGAAATTATAATGGTTTTATCACTTTTCTTTCTAATATTCATTTCTTATAATTATGCACATGTTACTTCCTCAGACAGAATATCTAAAAACTAATACTAAGAAATAATGGCAGACACCCTTTTTGTGATTATTCCTTAATCTCTTGTATGTATTTCTGGTACTTCACCAATAGGTATTTTTTTGTCTGATAGCTGGAAAATGGGTAAAGGAGAATCATTTTACTGTTTTTTGTTTTGTTTTATTGTGGGATTCGGAGTAGTATTTGGAATGGGTATTGGATTTTCTCAAATACTTTTGGACATGGATACCTAGTGAGATTATCATATGGATTTATTTTAATTTAATACATTAAAGTAATGCCATCTTTGCACATTTATTAACAAGTTTATTAGTATTAAATTACCTTCAATAGCTGCAGTAAGATCTATTCTTTGGGGTAGAGTGTTCTTTTTTACATATGGTTTGATTTTATCAACATTTTGACTTTTTTTACATCCTTATCAACAAGTGACTTGAGTCTATGACTTGTTCTGATGGTATCTTTGTTAGGTTTTGATATCAGGGTAACTTTTGCTTGAAACGTCAGTGCATGCTGCTGCTATCCCAACAGCCAAACTATACAAACCAGAACAGCAAACTAAGATTGTTTTTTAGGTGATGAAAAAAGTGAAAGAGCCATATAGGTAAATGGTCAGGACTACTGATGTCGATTTAGGCCTCATTTTTGTGGAGATGCATGGAGCCAGAGTCGGACTGGCTGTGGCTCTTCCCAGTTCGGCCGAGCGTTGCGAGACAGGCTGCCCCCAAAATGCTGGATGGTCCGAGTCTTGCGTGCAGTAGGTGCTCCATCAGTAGTGCTTTAGTAAATGGTTAAATAGTACAGTGGATACCCCAGAGACAGTTCTCCAGCCCAATTGATGTCTCTGGGTTCTTTTTTTTTTTTTTAAGTATGTACCTCAAATGTGAAGAAGTGAGCATAGTTTTCTTTCAGCTTTAAATCAACTTCTGTTAACAGTTTTTCAGCCCTTATTACTGTTGTCAAAAAAGGACACAGTGTCCTCCAGAACATGATTCATTATATCACTAAACATAAACCCAGGTTCTTTGGGTTTTAAAAATTTATCCTTGACCCCCTGGGAAAATAGCATATAGCAAAGTAATGGAAAAGTTCCAAAACTCAGGAGGTCTTACAGGCATAATCTCTGTATGTTTCTATTCACCCTTTAGCCACAGTCTGGAAGAAGCTTTGGACTTTGGGTTTTCCTTGCACCTTATTACTGAGAATATATTTCATCCAAATTTCTAAGAAGTTGGCTTTCAACTAAATTTCTTGTGTCTAATGCCCTACCTAAATGTCAAGAAACCTATCATTTTTTTCTAGTGGTTGTGAAAATGTTTGATTAGACCTTTGTCTTTCTCCCTAGACCATTGGAGAAGCCCCCTCTCTTTCCTTTTTGTACATTCTAGCTCTGTCATTCCCTAGCCCCATTTAATCTTCTAAAGACACAAGCATACTTATAATCCTTTATTGGTTCCACATCAGAAATAGGTTGCAGTTAGATTTTTGTCTCACTCCATACACCAACAATAATTGTGTTTACTTTAGCAATTTAAATATAAACAAATAATTATGTAACTATGAGCAGAAATTACAGGTAAATATATAATCTTAGTGTAAAGAAGGCTATAAAACACAACACAATAACAGAATACATACTGAGAAAAGTATTTGCAACATGTGGCCGACAAAAGGTGAATATCCTTAATAAAGAAATATTGTTTATGTGGTAATATACGAAAATAATATTCAGTTATATGAACAGTTCTTCATATTATAGAAAGAAGTTGTTATTTGATATTTTATTATTCTTATAGATGAACCAATTTTTTGTTATTACTTCTGTAGCAAAAACAAATTAGTTACTCGCCAGGACTGTGCAGCATAGAACATCAGCAAGAGATAACCAAACTAAAGACTGATTTAGAAAAGAAAAGTATCTTTTATGAAGAAGAATTGTCTAAAAGAGAAGGAATACATGCAAATGAAATTAAAAATCTGAAGAAAGAACTTCATGATTCAGAAGGCCAGCAACTTGCTCTCAACAAGGAAATTATGATTTTGAAAGACAAATTGGAAAAAAACAGGAGAGAGAGGTAAGAATCAAGTTATTTACTCTTTAATAAATATTTCCTGAATGCCTATTATGTGTCAGGGGTTGGAGATACATGGGCAGTCCACATATCCCAGTTCTACAGAGCCCAAAGTCAAGATCAGTAAATAGGAAATTATACTACAGCATGACAGGCAAGCACACGGGATAGTATAAGTGCAGACAAAATGCAGGAGCTCCCATAGACGAGGCACAAAGGATAACTTTGGTATGTCTGGGTTTTTTGGACAAAATTATGTCTAAGTTAAGACCAAAGAGATAAATTCTCTAACTGTGGAAGAGTGTCCAGATAGACATAGCAGAATGTGCTAGGATGGAGAGGAAAAGAGGGGAGCATGGCACATTCAGAGACTAGGCTGTCCTGATGGTGAAGCCATAGAGGCCAGGTGAGAGGGTGAGAAGTGGGTCTGCAGAGGGAAGTAGAGGCAAGATCATGAAGGAGGGCAAGGAGTTTGGGCGTCATCCTGAGGCCATTGAAGGCAGGTGACAGGGTGGTACTCGTGGTTTTGAAAGATCACTCTTGTTTCTGTGTGGAGCGGGACTGAGGGGGGCAGATGGCAGGTAGGAACCTGGCTGTGGGAAATGAGCAGGACTGTAGGTGCTGACCTCGAAGGTGGAGGTAAATGGGCTCAGAGCATGCTCTGAGCATGTGGGCTCAGAAGGTCCCAGAGACCCAGAACCTGGGTGTCATAATGGCCAGATGTGAGAAATTGCTGCTGGGACCTGGGACCTTATTTTTAGGCAGCTGAATGTATGCTATTGTCATTCTCAACTTATTTTGGAAGCCAAAATTTATTTAGTTTGGTCCATTCATTCAACAATTTTTTTAGGACCTATGGTGGGTAAAGCACTGTTATGGGCCCTGGGAACGTAGCAGTGGATAGACAAAAAAAATCTCTGTCCTGTAACTATGAGCAGAAATTACAGATAAATATATAATCCCTGGGGTGCTCCAGTCTTTAGGACTTTGGAAATGAGGAAGAAACAGCCAAGTGGACAGCCAAGAATGATAGGAAGAAGACCGGCTGATTTGGTGTCCTGGAAACCACGTGATGAAGCATATCAAAATCCTTTAGTTAGGCGAAAGACTACAAACAAAATAAGTAAAATATAGAATGCCAAGAACAAAAAATACAGCACAAGACAGGGCCATGAAGCATTGAGAGGGCAATTAAATTCTCTATATAGACAGGTCTGGGGAAATTATGCTGAGAAGGTAATTGAAGTAAGGGCTAAAGAAAGTAGGGAGGCATCTCTACAGATGTAGGAGAAGAGTACACGGAGTACAGTCTGTTAAAAAAATAACGAGAAGGCAAAACTAGGGAGACAGTATAAAGATCAGTGCTTGTCGGGGCTTGGGGGAGGATGGAGGTGTCGAGGAGGATGTCTAGGGCAGTGCAGCTACTCTGTGTGATGCTGTGATGGTGGGTGCATGTCGTTGAACATGTGTCCAAACCCTGATGTAAGCTGTGGAGTTTGAGTGATGCTGATGTGTCCACTGCAAGTTCACTGACAAAACACATGCTCCACCCTGGTGGGGGTGGTGTTGTGGGGAGGCTGTACCTGTGTTTGGGGGGCAGGGGGTATGTGGGAAATCTCTGCTATGAACCTAAAACTTTTCTAAAAAATAAAGTCTATTAAATATGATAATAAGGAGGCCAATATGGCCAAGGTAGACTTAAGGGGAAAGTATAGTAGGAGATAAGTATGAGAGGGACCCGGGCCAGATCGCACAAGGCTTTGTGACAGGTGACTTCTGGTTATTTGCTCTGAATAAAACCATTGCAGGGACGTACTGTGGGATTTTGAGTGGAAAATTGACAAATACTGGGTTGTGTTTTAACAGGGTTACTCTGACTACTGGGTTAAAAACAGTCTGACTTAGATAAGAGAAAAGCATGGAAATGATTTAGAAGGCTATCACAGTAGTCCAGGCCCAAGAGGATGGTGAGTTGGCCTATGGTAGAGGCAGAAGTGGTGGAAAGACATGTTGGAATTCTGATACTCCTTAAAAGTAAAGACACTGGTCTCTGCTGGTGGACCAGATATGGAGGGAGAAAGGAAGAAGAAGAAGAAGAATCAAGGATGATACTGAGGTTTCAGGTCTTAGCAGTTAGGAGATTGTAGTTACCATTTAGAGAGGAACAGTGCGAAGGAAGCACGTTTGGGATAGGAGTATTACTGGGAGCTCATTTTAAACATGTTTGAGATGCCCACTAGACACCCACATGGAGATGTCAAGTAGGTCATTGGGTAGATCAGCCTGGATTTTAGGGCTAGAGATAAAATCCTGGGAGTAGTTTATCACTCACATGGTTTTTAAAACAGTGAGACTCTGTGAGATCACTTAGTGATTGGTAGAGATAGAAAAGAGGTTCAGCACTGAGCCCTGGGGTGCCCCAGTCTTTAGGACTTTGGAAATGAGGAAGAAACAGCCAAGTGGACAGTCAAGAATGATAGGAAGAAGACCGGCTGATTTGGTGTCCTGGAAACCATGTGATGAAGCATATCAAATCTGTCTACATGTTACGTGAGATGAGGTCTGAATCAAGTAAGATGAGGTCCAAACAATGACAGTTGAATTTAACAATATGAGGCTTATTGGTAACTTTGATAAGAACAATCAGTGGAACAGGAGGGGCAAAAACCCGACAGTGGGATCCAAGACTTGAAGGAGAGCAGTTGGAAAACAGAATAGTGGTGGGAATCTCTTAAAAGCAAGCAGTGCAAGGAAGCAGTAGCTGGAGGAGAAATTTATCTCAAAAGAAGTTATTTTTGCCTTTTGTTTCTGTTTTTAGATGGGAGAAATAACACCATGGTTGTAATCTGATAAGAATTATCCAACAGGTGGAGAAAAGTGCAGAAACCATGTAACTTGAACAGGTGTATGAGTGGAGGATTTGGCCTGAGCTGTGCAGAAACCTAGAGAAAGAGAAGAGAAAGTAGAGTGTATGAGGAAGGTAAATAGGGTAGTAAGGAACTTGTTTATATGTGGAGCTCTCCTGAGTTGGGCATGTTGAATTTGAGGTGCTTGGTGAGACATCTTTGTGGAAATACCAAGTCAGCAGTTGAAGCAAGCCCAGAAAAGCTTCAGATTAAATTCAGAGTTCATCAGTGTAACAGGTAATTGGATTCAGGTGGTGCGGTGGATGAGCCAGCTCAGGGGAAGTGTGCAGAGAGAGAGGTCGAGCTCTGGAACGGAATACCCAGGAGCATTGGTATTTTTGGGAAGGACAGAAAGAGGGGAGTCCACAGGGCAGAGATGGAGACTGGAAATCGGAGAGCATGGTGTCACTGAAGCCAAGAGAAGGTAGCATTTCAAGAGGGAGGAAATGGACGACGCTGTCAAAGGTGGCGGGTAGATTGGGTGTGGTAACAGGACTGTGGCCGGTTGTGAGAGAACAGGTTTTTGAGGTGGTGGCGCAGCAGAAGCCACATTTTGTGTGGTGAGGAACAGATAGGTGATGAGGATGTGGATACAGCACACCCTGTCAAGGTTTCCAGATGGTTCCCAGTGAACAGGAAGGCAGGGAGTTGGCAAATGAAGCATGACATAGGGTTCAGGGAAGAGTGTGTTCATTTTGTTTTCATATGGAAGAGACTTCAGCTTTGTTTAGTGCTAGTAGGAAAAAACAAGAAGAGTTTTACATAGAAATTTTACTCAGTTTATTTGTGTACATATTTTTTCAAAAGGCTTCTTTGTAATTTTTCAAGTTTTTGTCATTGTTTGTTATTTGGAGTTGCTTCTGAATCAAGATGATTTTTTAAATTTTATTTAAATTCAAGTTAGTTAACATATAGTGTATCATTAGTTTCAGGGGTAAAGTTCAGTGATTCATCAGTTGTATATAACACCCAGTGCTCATTACATCACGTGCCCTCCTTCATGTCCATCACCCACTTACCCCGCCCCCCCACCTCCCCTCCACAACCCTCAGTCTGTTTCCTATAGTTAAGAGTCTCTTGTGGTTTGTCTCCCTCTCTCTTTTTATCTTACTTTATTTTTTCTTTCATTCCCCTATGATCCTCTGTTTTGTTTTTTAAATTCCACATATGAATTAAATCATATGGTATTTGTCTTTGACTGACTTATTTTGCTTAGCATAATACATTCCAGCTCCATCCACATCGTTGCAAATGGCAAGATTTCATTTCTTTTTGATGGGTGAGTAATATTCCAGTGTGTGTGTGCGTGCGTGTGTATATACACATCTTCTTTATCCACTCATCCATCAATGGACATCTGGGCTCTTTCCATATTTTGGCCATTATGGACATTGTTGCTATAAACATTGGGGTGCAAACATAACTAAATTTTGACTATTGATAATTAAAAAAAAAATTTTTTTTTTAAGATTTTATTTATTTGACACAGAGAGAGACAGAAAGCAAGCACAAACGGGGAATGGCAGGCAGGGGAGAAGCAGGCTCCTGGCTGAGCAAGGAGCCTGACTGGCTCAGTCAGTTAAGCAGCTGCCTTCTGCTCGGGTGGTGATCCCAGGGTTCTGGGATAATTTTTTTAAAGTGGCATGTTTGCCTGCACACAGGATGGTTTATTTTCCCAGAATTTATAATTTAAAATATAGTTTCATTTATATTCACTAATATAGTGATGTAAGAAGTTTTTAAGATTAGGGGCGCCTGGGTGGCTCAGTCGTTAAGCATCTTCCTTCGGCTCAGGTCATGATCCCAGGGTCCTGGGATTGAGCCCCGCATCAGGCTCCCTGCTCAGCAGGAGGCCTGCTTCTCCCTCTCCCACTCCCACTCCCCCTGCTTGTGTTCCCTCTCTCGCTGTCTCTTTCTCTCTGTCAAATAAATAAATAAAATCTTTAAAAAAAAAAAAAAGACGTTTCTAAGATTACATTTTTAAAATCAGCCATTATTCAGGTTCTTTGTTGACTTGGAATCAATCATATGAAATTACTCAGATCCACATTGAATTTCATTTACTGCTAAGATATAAATCTCTTTAAATTTTTTTTATTGAATATAAGGTGACAGTTTCAGGTGTACAACATGGTGATTCTCTACAGGTTATACTGTGCTCACCAGTGTAGCTACCATCTGTGACTGTATGACACCATTACAGTATCATTGACTAGATTCTCTAGGCTGTGCCTTTTATTTCTATATCTTATTCATTCCATAACTGGAAGCCTGCACCTCCTGCTCTGCTTCACCCATTTTTCCCATCCTCCACTCCCCTTCCCTTCTGGCAACCATCAGTTCTCTGTATTTATGGGTCTGATTCTGCTTTTTGTTTGTTCATTTGTTTTTTAGATTCTACATGTGAGTGAAATCATATGGTATTTGTCTTTCTAGGTCTGGCTTCTTTCACTTGGCTTAATACCCTTTAGGCCCATCCATGTTACCACAATGGCAACATCTCATCCCTTTTTATGGCTGTGTAATAGTCCATTGTGTATGTATATACCACATCTTCCTTATCCGTTTGCCTATTGATGGACACTTAGCTTGCTTCCATTATCTTTGCTTTGTAAATAATGCTGCAGTAAACATAAGGGTGCATATATCTTTTCAAATTAGTGTTTTCATTTTCCTCAGGTAAATACCCAATAGTGGAATAACTGGATCATTTCTATTTTTAATTTTTTGAGGCACCTTTGTACTGTTTTCCACCATGACTGCACTGGTTTGTGTTCCCACCAACAGTGCACGAGGGTTCCTTTTTTCCACATCTTTGCCATCACTTATTTCTTGTCTTTTTTATGTTAGCCATTCTGGCAAGTGTGAGGTGATATCTTATTGTGGTTTTGACTTGTATTTCCCTGATGATCAATGATGTTGAGCAACTTTTCATGTGTCTGTTGGCCGTCTGTATGTCGTCTTTAGAAAAATGTCTATTCAGGTCTTCTTCCCATTTTTTAATTGGATTACTTGGGGTTTTTTGGTGTTGACTTGTATACATTCTTTGTATATTTTGGATATTAATCCCTTATCAGATATGTCATTTGCAAATAACTTCACCCATTCAGTAGTTTGCCTTTTCGTTTTGATGATGGTTTCCTGTGCAAGTTTTTTATTTTGATGTAGTCCCAACAGTTTATTTTTGCTTTTGTTTCCCTTGTCTTAGGCATATCTAAAAAAAAATATTGCTATGGCCAATGTCAAAGAAATTACTGCCTGTGTTCTTTTCTAGGAATTTTATCAGGTCTAACATTTAGATCTTTAATCCATTTTTATTTTATTTTTGTGTACGGTGTGGGAAAGTGGTCCAGTTTCATTCTTTTGCATGTGGCTGTCCAGTTTTCCCAGAACCATTTATTGAAGAGACTATCTTTTCCCCATTGTATATTCTTGCCTCCTTTCTCATATATTAATTCATCATATAAGTGTGGGTTTATTTCTGGGTTCTCTGTTCCATTGATCTTGTGTTTATTTTTGAGTCAGTACCTTACTGCTGTAATTACTACAGCTTTGTAGTATATCTTGAAATCTTGTACTATGCCTCCAGCTTTGTTCTTGTTCCTGAAGACTGCTTTGGCTTCTTGGGGTCTTTTGTGGTGCCATACAAATATTAGTATTACATGTTCTAGTTCTGTGAAAAATGCTGTTGCTACTTTCCTGGGTATTGCACTGAATCTGTAGATTGTTTTGGCTAGTATGGGCATTTTAGCAATATTAATTCTTCCAGTCCATGTGCATAGACTGTCTTTCCATTTGTTTGTATCATCTTCAATTTCTTTCATAGTTTTTAGAGTACAGGTCTTTCACCACCTTATTTAAGTTTATTCCTAGCTATTTTATTTATTCTTTTTGGTGTGGTTGTAAATGCAGTTGTTTTCTTAATTTCTCCTTCTCCTACTTTGTTATTAGTGTATTAGTGAAATGCTACCAATTTCTGGGTATTAATTTTGTATCCTGCAACTTTACTGAATTCATTTATTTCAGTACTTTTTTTTAGTGGAGTCTTCAGGGTGTTCTAGTTATAGTATCATGTCATCTGCAAATAGTGACAGTTTAACTTCTTCCTTACCAGTATGGATCCTCATATTCCCCCTTTTTCTCTTTGTCTGATTGCTGTGGCTACAACTTCAGTACTATGTTGGATCGAAGTGGTAAGAGCGGACATCTTTACAGGAAAAGCTCTCAGTTTTTCCCCATTATGGAGGATGTTTGCTGTGGCCTGGACTTTTATTTTGGGGAAGAGTTTTGATTACCGATTAAATTTTTTTACTAGTAATTGGTCTGTTCAGATTTTTTGTTTCTTCCTAATTCAATTTGGAAGATAGTGTGTTTCTGGGAATTTATCCATTTCTTTGTTTTTCCAATTTGTTGGCATACATTTTTCATAGTATTCTCTTATTCTTTGTATTTCTGTGGTATCAGTTCTCTTTTGTTTCTGATTTTATGTATTTGAGTCTTTTTTCTTGATGAGTCTGGGTAAGGGTTTATCAGTTTTGTTTATCTTTTCAAAGAACCAGTTCTTGGTTTCATTATGGGTTTTTTCTCTTTTAATCTCTATTTCATGCATGTCTGCTCTGATCTTTATTATTTCCTTTCTTCTACTCACCTTGGATTTTGTCTTTTTTTTTCCCTTTCATTTAGGTATAAAGTTAGATTGTTTTTTTGAGCTTCTTATTTCTTGAGTTGGCCTGTATCACTGGATATTTCCCTCTTAGAACTGCTTTTGCTGTGTCAAAAGATTTTGGACCACTGTGTTTTCATTTTCATTTGTCTCCATGTATTTTTTTTTTTTTATTTCTTTGATTTCTTCATTGACCCATTGGTTGTTTAGAATATAAGCCTCTTCATCTGCATTTCAGCTCAGTGTTTGAAAACTGATTTCCCTTTCTCCCTTAGGTGGTTTCCAAAAAGTCTGTTTAGCATTATGTTTACCTCTAAGGGTGAGTCAGTTGTGCCTCTCAGAACTATCATTTTAAATAAGTTTTATAATATTAAATTTGTTGTGTATGTATGCATATGTGTGTAGGTAGGTACCTAGGTAAGAAGAAAAGGAAGGGCTGAATATATTGAGAGAACTATTGGAAATTTCTCTGAGGGTTTGTTAGAAATCTTGAACTGAGTATAAGGAATCATGCTGGGGTCCATGTATCCCCCTCTTTCCCTAACCTCTTCATTTTCCCATACTTTCTGGTACATATGCAACCAAACAAGGTGAGCACAGTCATGAAGTCTACAAATCACAGATGTCTTCTCAGATTTTCAAATGAAAAACAAAGTAGATGTTGTTAGGCAGACAAGTCTATTAATTAAAAGAGAATGATTGTGACTTTTAATTTTAAGGGGGAAGATAGGGATTTGGCACATTTAACATATGTGACTTTTCAGAATAAAAGCATACGGTACAGTAGCCAGTCGGGGATACCATTATTTTAACTTTAATTCCATTCCTTTTTTTCCCCTCTTATGTTTCAAATTGTGTTAGTCAAAGTGAAAGGGAAGAATTTGAAAATGAGTTCAAACAACAGTATGAACGAGAAAAAGTATTATTAACTGAAGAAAATAAAAAACTGACAAGTGAACTTGATAAGGTGAGTGATACAATCTAATTTGTATTCCCTGAGCATATGCTAGATGTTCAGCACTGTGATAGAAATTGTAGAAATAATTTTATGTTTGATGCACAGTTTGGGTTTACTATTCCTCCTTATATACAAGGATTACCTAGATGGTATAGGCAAGTTTTCATTACACCAGTCTATATAGGAGTTCTGAGGAGAGGGTTTTACTTATCTCATCTTATTCTTTGTCCCATTTATTTTTTGATCCTCTATTCTTTATTTCACTTTCCATCTATTCTCTTTTTCACTCTTTCCTGTCATACTTAGCACTTACTCTTTCATGGCTGTTGGAGTTAAGCTGGCCATTGGCAAGAGCAGGAATATTTAGGCCAAACTGGAGAACTTTTGACAACTATGATGTCCTATTCATGGTGGAAAACTGCGAGTAGCTAGAAATAATATCATTGGTAGGTAGGAATCCAGGGAAACCAGCTCTGCCTAAACTGCTGTAGCTTGAGTAAAGAGCAGAACCATAGATTAAACTTAGACTCAGCCAGATTTGTGAACAAAATGTCAAATACTTAAAAGGAATGTTTTTTGTTTAGTAGCTGAGATTTCTTGAACTGCCATTATTCTGCATTTCTTTTGTCAGTTCTTAACAAACAGTTGTAAAAATCCTAATATTATCCAGACGTTTTAATAATCTTATTTATATTTAATTAAGAACATTTGGGTAATTGTGTTTTATAATGATTTCTAGGACTTTCCTCCAGTAAAAGTATTTTGTTCAGTTATTAGTTATTCTAATAACAGATTGAAATACCATGACTAAATAGTCATAAAAGACTTTTTATTGTCTCTCAGTTTTCCCTTGTGTTCCATGCATCTTTCACTACTTTCCTCATGACTGTTAGGTTCTTTACACATTTAATAATGACTTTGCTTGTTTGCTTGAAAACTATTTGAGAAACAATTCCATTTGTCCATTTTGTAAAGTCTTATGAAGCTGATGTACACAGACACTGTGGGAAGTGGCCAGAGATAGTAAGTAGTATGAATGTTTTGTTTAAAGTACGAAGAGTATATGAAGGTGATTGTGTAACTCTTCGTTATTTCCACTAAAATAAAACTAACAGTATTTGAATTTTATCCAAATAGGTCACATAATTTTTATTTCATGTGTTTAACTAATATGACTATAAAATTAAACATTATTTCTGTCTGTTAGAATTTAAGATTCTGTTAAGAGTTACCTTGACATAAGAAATGCAGTTAAACTCTAGAAGGCCTCTGCATGTAGTTTCTAAACAAATTACCTAGTAAAAAATGTATATAGTTCAAGAAAAATTATATTAAATAATAATCAAATTGAATGTAGATCAAATCTTGTATTCACCCCTTGGTTTTATTTCATTAGTAACCATAAAGTTCTGCCGAGTTTTCCAGAAATACATATTTAGAGATAATTTGTAAGCAATACTCTTTTTGATTCTGATGAGATGCAAAGGATAAAAATAAAAGCCTGTCTCCTAAGTTAATAAAAGTAGAACATTACCTTTTCTTACTACATTGAAAGGTATGATGAAGGATGAGTAGAACTTTGAGAGCAAATTTGTATGGTGGGCAAATATTTAATGACAAATGATAACAAGGAAATATTTATTCCTGAGAAATAGAGATGGATCTGGGTTCTGCTACCTTTTAAGCCTCTTCCCTATATTTATTCCTTTTACAGCATTTGCTTCTCTTCCTCCTTAACTCTCAGTTCACCTTAACTGAGCATCTTCATTGTTTCTTTCTGTTCAATCATTTTCTGGTTTGGTTTGAACTGTGTTTTTTCACCAAGAGGGATAACCAAAGAATACTTTTGCCATTGCTCTACCAGCTCTTCTGTCTGGAACCTGAGCGGAGAGCTGAATTTCTTCTCAGCAGAACTTCTGGCATAGAAGCCAGAAAACAACTATTAGGTTAATTTTGAAATTTATTTAATTAATACTATGAATAGATTCTCACATTCACATTTTTTTATTATGTTCAATTAGCCAACATTTTTAAACTCCACAAATTAAAATTGAAGAGGAAATTAAAAAGGGGTGCCTGGGTGACTCAATCAGTTAAGTGTAGAACTCTTGATTTCAGCTCAGGTCATGATCTCAGGGTTGTGAGATCAAGCCCCCAACTCAGGTGCAATGCTAGGCATGGAGCCTGCTTGGGATTCTCTCTCTCTCACTCTGCCCCTCCCTCCACACCTCCACACCTCCACCCACCACTCATGCTCTCTCTCTCAAAAAAAAATAAAAAATAAAAAAAAAGTTTGTTGATATTTTCAGAAGTCTGGTAAGTTTCTTTTATTTTTTTAGAGAGAGAGAGCACTCTCTCTAAAATGAGAGAGTGGGGGGTGGAGGGGGAGTGAAGGGCAGAGGGAGAGAATCTTAAGCAGGCTCCAAGCCCAACCCAGAGCCCCACAGGGTGGGGCTTGATCTCATGACCCTGAGATTGTGATCTGAGCCAAAATGAAGAGTTGGACGCTTAACTGACTGATCCACCCAGGCACCCCTGTTAAGTTTCACTTTTTATTAAAAGATAACTTACTGCAAATAAAATTAGCCATGTATGTTAGAGAAAGTAAATGGCTTCCCATAAGGAAAAGTATTATTTGTATCTTGTTCTTAAATTATTATTTTACAAAAAAGCAAAATTATAAAAATTACATAAAAGTTACCCATGATCTCATTACCACAAAACAACGATTTTAATTTTATGTGTTCCTTTCCAGGTTTTGTTTGTATAAATATTATTACGTAGGTGCAGTCATACGTGCATTCCCTTTTCTAATATGCCTTTCACTTAAAATGTCATGAGCATGTTTCCGTATTCTATACTATACTACTATTCCATACTATAAGCCAGATATGTCAAGGTACAAATAGTAAAACCTGATTCTCATTCCCAAACAAGCAAAATGAACTAATACTTGGCTAGAATTTACTGAGGGCAGGTCCTCTTCTGAGTTACTTTATATAAATCATTTAATCCTCACAAAAACTCTGTGAGGTGTTCCCTATTACTCTTGCCATCTTGTAGATGAGACTGAGGCAGAGGGGGATGAGACTCCTTTCCTAATCAGAGAACTAGGAAGTGGCCAGATGAAATTTGAATACAGGCAGTCTGGCTCCAGAGTCCATGCTTTTATTCAGTAATAATGAAAAGATTAGCATTTCTCTAATACTGAACAAGTCTACTTAAAACTACTTGTAACTATTGTAACACGGCCTTGCAAAATCTGTGTTTCCTCTCCTTCCTGCAGATGTCTAGCTGACCTCACTCACAAATTAGTTGGGAGGGCTGTCAAAAGCAATCATAATAAAAAACAATGTGTTGTAGGAATTAGTGAAGACATTCATCTGCAAAAAAATTTTTCAAAAACAGCCGGTAAACTTCTGTCTATGCTAACATGAAGAGATTGATGAATCTTCTCAAGAAAAAAAAATTTTTTCAAAGTGGACCCCATTGTCAAAAACAACCATTTTGGAACTCTGGGAATTAACCAGAGGAAGACCACTACAAAACATTGATAAGATAAATGAAGGAATATCTAAACAAATGGAGAGATGTACCCTGTTAATGGATTGAAAGACTTGGAATTGTTAGGACCTCAGTTCTCCTCTAATGTATAAATTCAGGGAAATCCCTATCCAAATTCTGGTAGGCTCTGGAATTGAGAAGCTCATCCTTAAATTTATTTGGGAATACAAAAGACCTATAATAGCCTTGTGCAACAAAAATTGGAGGATTTACCTGACAGTCTTTGGAAACTTACTAGTAGTATTGGCATGATGGAACCATAGATTAATGGTCTAAAAATAAGCCCTCATATTTATGGCCAATTGATTTTCAGCCAAAGTGCCAATGCAATTCAAAGGGAGAAGGATAATCTTTTCAACAAATTGTGCTGGAACACTTGGATATCCATTTGCAAAAAAATTAAATTCTTATGCCATATAAAAACATTAACTCAAAGTGGATCATAAACTGAAACATGAGCAATAATCATAGGAGAAATCTTCATGATTTAGGGTTAGTCGAAAATTTCATAGATATAAATTAAAAGTACAACCCATGAGAGAAAAATAATGATAAATTGTACTTCATCACATCTAAAGACAACATTAAGAAAACTAAAAGACATACACAGATGAGGAGGAAACATTTGCAAATCACTTACCTGATAAGAAACATATTTAAAATATAGAAAGAACTTAAAACTCAAGAATAAGAAATAATGCAAACAACCCAGTGAAAAATTGGGGGAAAAATTTGAGTAGACATTTCATGAAAGAGATATGAATGACAAGCATGTAAAAAGATGTTCAGTGTCATTAGGAAAATGTGAACTTAAAACCACAGTTATGTACTGCTGTACACCCTCAAGAACAAGTGGAATCAGTAAGAGTGACCATACCAACTTTTGGCAAGGGTATGGCAGAACTAGAACTCCTACACTGCTTGTAGGAGCATCTGGTGGTGGTATAACCACTTCAGTAAATAGTTTCAAAGGTTCTCAAAAAGGTAAGCATACCCTTACCATGTGACCCAGAAATTCTTGTAGATACTTATTTAAGAGAACTGAAAACACAGTCCTCTTAAAAACTTGTGTATGAATGTTCATAGCATCATTATTCACAATAGCAAACAACTGGGAACAGTACCAATGCTCATCAGCTAGTGAACAAGCAAATGAAATTTACTATTATCCATATAATAGAATACTACTCAGCTGGAAAAAGGAGTGAATTTCTGATACACGCAATACTGTGGTTGAATCTCAATATTGTGATGAGTGAAAGACAAACTCTACATGTTGTAGGATTTCATTGATATTAAATTTCTTGGAAAAGCCGAAGTATAGAAACAGAAAACAGATCAGCAATGCCTGGAACTCAGGTTGAAGCCAGGACTGACTGCAACCCAGCAGTGGGGAAATTTCTCCTGTACCAAAACTGGATTGTGGTGATTGTTGCACAGCTGTTTAAATTTATTAAATTTAAATTTAAATTAAGAGCCGAGATGCCCTTCAACAGATGAATGGATAAAGAAGATGTGGTCCATATATACAATGCAATATTATTCAGCCATCAGAAATGATGAATACCCAACTTTCATATCAACATGGATGGGACTGGAGGAGATTATGCTAAGTGAAATAAGTCAAGCAGAGAAAGTCAATTATCATATGGTTTCACTTACTTGTAGAACATGAGGAATAGCATGGAGGACCTTAGGAGAAGGGAGGGGAAAATGAAGGGGGGAACATCGGAGGGTGAGATGAACCATGAGAGACTATGGACTCTGAGAAACAAACTGAAGGTTTTAGAGGAGAGTGGGGTGGGGGAATGGGTTAGCCTGGTGATGGGTATTAAGGAGGGCATGTATTGCATGGAGCACTGGGTGTTATTCAAAAATAATCATGGAATACTACATCAAAAATTAATGATGTACTTTATGGGGACTAACATAACATAATAAAATTAAATTAAAAATAAATAAATTTATTAAAAATCCGTGAACCATACACTTGTAATGAATAAATTTTATTGTATGTAAATTATACCTCAGTAAATCTGTAAAAAGAAAATAGCTGGTAAAGTACATTTTCAGAGGTAAGTAGCACACCTTGAGGTACAGAACTTCAATCCCTTATTCTCAATGGACAAGTAAGGGTGTATGTTGGCATCAATAGCTTCTCTGGACCCCATTGCCTTCTGAGAAGACAGTGAGGTTGGAGGTAGGGTAAACAGGGAATTACAGCTGTGCTCCTTTGGTAGAAGGAAAGAAAGAAAACTGCATTGTGACTTGTGCCAAAACTGTCTATGTCTCACAGAAGTACAGGCCAAAAACACATGAGAACAACCCTAGGTCACTAGGAGGATTCCTGATCAATTTAAATGAGGGAATTGGCACACTGTGACCTGAGCCAGATCTGACTCTCAGACTAAGACCCATGAACTAAGAAGAATTTTTACATAACTTCTAAGTAAGTTTTTGTAAGAAGAACAAGATGTGATGGAGGCCATGTGTGTCCCACAAAGACAAAAATATGTACTATCTAATTCTTTATTGGAAAGTTTGCAGACCCCTGACTTAGAACATGGCTTTAGTCTGTATTAGAAACTGAACCAAATATACGCACACACACACACACACACACATATATATACACACACACACACACACATGTATGTGTAAAGACATTTATTGTAAGGAATTTGCTCACCTGATTATGGAGTCTGACAAGTCCCAAGAGCTGTAGTTTGCAGTCTGGAGACCCAAGAGAGCCTATGATATAGTTTCAGTTCACGTCCAAAGGGCTTGAGACTCAGGAAGAACTGCTGTTTCCGTAAGAGTCCAAAAGCAGGAAAAACTAGCCTCCCAGCTTGAAGGAATTTAGGCAGGAGAAGTTCCCTCCAATTCATCCTACTCCCTAGGGTCAGCCTTTTTGTTCTGCAGGCCTTTAGCTGATTGGTTGGGCCCACTGTGTTAGGGAGGGCAATCTGCTTTATTCAGTCTCCTGATTCAGATGTTAATTTCATCCAGAGACACCTTCACAGACACACCCAGAGTAATGTTTGATCACGCTTGTTGGCACCCTAAGACCCAGTCAGGTTAACACGGAAAATTAACTATCACTTGGCCCCTCATCCCCACAAACTTGTAAATAGCTCTTCTAGGAAAAACTTGCCTTCTTCAGGTTGAGTAATCAAAAAGAAATGAACACAGGAACACAGTATTTCTATAAACATACCAAAAAACAAGAAAGGAGTAGTAATAACTAATGCAGATTGAGACCATTTATCAGAAAAACTATAGCCATGAAATGAAAACTGAATGCAAATATTTTATCATACATTTTTTAAAACTTACTAAAGCAGGAACTTTCACTTCTATGGCAGATTAGTTTACTTCATACCCACCACCTCACCAAGAGCTGGATTTTTAAAAAAATTGTCTTAATATGGTGGGACTATTTCCTACAGTATTTATCTGCAGGAAGGCATTGGAGAGATAAGGCAGCCATCATCACTGACCAAGATCCTATAGAGGAGTAGTGCAGAGAGATGAGCCCAGCACTCAATGCCGCTTTTCCCCTTGAGGCATTTGCTGATATGAAAGCAGTAGCTGAGGATCCAGGAAGCTGAGCACAGTGTTCCACAGTCCCACAAGTTTGAAGAGATGAATACAAACTTTCAGTTGGACTCATTGAAAGGCTACATTTTAGGAATAAGAGTGAACCAGAAAGAGATGAGACCTCTCACTGACTGAAACCTAGCCTCCAAGTAACTCAATACCTGACCTATCTTGAATCTAAATGCTTGCCAGAAGTAAAGGTAAATACTCTCTGGAGGAAGATACTATATACAGATCCTCAAATTACCTCTAAAATTTTTATGCAAAATGTGTGGCATACATTAAAACAATTACCATGCATACCAAGAGATACAACTAAATCACTGAAAACCAAGAGTAAAAATAAAATAGCAAAAACAAAATAAGGAAAGAAAAAAAACAAAAAACAGAAAACTAGGCAGTCTGTATAAGCAAGCCCACAGGGATTCCCATCAGAATTTCCATAAATGAAATTTTATAATAACTGTATGATAGAAAATTTAAGACATGAAGAATTTCAGCAGACAACTGGAGTATATACAAAAGAGTCAAATAGAACTTCTAGGAGTAAAAACTAAAATAACCAAAATACCGAATAGATTTTAACAGCAGACTGGAAAGAGCTGAAGAAAAGAGTATATAAATAAAAAAATATCAGACTAAAGTATGGGTAGAGATTAATTAAAAGGATGGAAATACATAAAAGAGGACAGAGACCAAGGGGATGTGATGAAAAGATCTTATGTACAAATACTTGCTCTCCCAGGTGGAGAGGATCAAGAGACTGTGGCAGAAGCAGTATTTGAGGAATTAATGGCCCATAATTTCCCAAAACTTACGAGAAACATTTAGGTACAAAATCAGGAAATGCCACAAACCCTAAAGGTGATAAATAGAAATTAAATCCCACTTAGGGACATCATAGAAAAACTGCTGAAAACCAGCAACCAAGGAGAATCCTAAAAGCAACCAGAGAAGAAAGTCACATTATATTCAAATGAGCAAAAGTTAAACTGAAAGTTAACTTCCCAACAGAAAAAAATGGATTTCCAAAAAGGAATCAAAACGGGGAATAAAAAGGAATGCCATTTTCAAAGTGCTAGAGGAGGATAATTGCCAACCTGGAATGTCCTATATGGCAAAAAATGTCTTTCAGAAATGAAAGCAGAAATCGAGACTATAGAAAACTCTGCAGGACAAACCTGATTTCTTCAACAAATAAATTACAAGAAAAATAAAAGTGCTGGAGGGGAACTGCTATGGACAGAATGTTTGTGGCCCTCCAAAATTCACATGTTGAAACCTACCCCCCAGTGTGATTGTAGGAGGAGGTGCTGCCTTTGGGAGGTGATTAGGTTGTGAGGTGGCACCCTCATGGTGGTATTATTATCCTTATGAAAGCAACCCTGGAGAGCCCACTCACACCTCCCACCCTCTGAGGATGGCAGCCAGAAGACAGCCATCTATGAACCAAGAGCAGATCTCACCAGACACTGAATCTGCTGGCACTTTGATCTTGGACTCTCTAGCATCCAGACTGTGAGAAATAAATATTTCGTACTTAAATTACCCAGTCTCTGGTAGTCTAGTATAGGGGCCTGAATGGACTAAGAGCCTATAAATAAAAGAGACTTAAAAGATATAGGAACCATTAAGCTGTGGTTACTTGTTGGTATCACAATTCAATTTAATAAACTGTTAAGCTTTTTGATATTTTGAGATACCTGGAAATTTGAACAGTTACTACCTATGTGATGATATAAGGAAACTTATTAAATTTTTTAAGTATGATAATGTTATCTTTTGAAAGAGAGCCTTATTTGCAGGAGATATACACAGAAATATATATGGGTAAAATTATAGATGTCTGGTATTCACTTAGGAATAATTCAGGAGGAAGAGGTAAGAAGACAGGATACAAATGCAATGACTGGTATTGAAATGGTAATTATTGAAGTTGGCTGTGGGCTCATGGGAATTAACTTATACTGTCCATTTTTGCATATACTTGAAATACTTTGTAAGATTTTATTTTAAAAAGATGACATGGAGACATTTACAACCCCCCCCCCAATAAAACCAAAACAAACAAAAAAACAAAAAACGAGAGATGTTGTTACCAGTAGAACCTGAGGAGTTTTCAGGCAACTGGAGAATGTTCACAAATGGAAGCAATTCAGTGTGGGAGTAAGGGAAAGCAAAGGCCGAGGAGAATTCAGAATACTTGATGTTTCCAAAGTCAGTGACCAGAAGGGTATATAATAAGAAGAAATCAGGAAGACAAGCATTTTTTAGTGGAATATGGTAAGTAATCAGCTCTAACAAGTGGCATCTGAGCACCTTGCATTCCTGTTCCTAAAAGTCACGTGTGTCTTTAAGTGTCTTAAAACTGCTTTTCAGCTCACCGCTTTGTATGAGAACTTAAGTATGCGCAACCAGCAGTTAGAAGAAGAGGTAAAAGACCTAGCAGACAAGAAAGAATCAGTTGCACATTGGGAAGCCCAAATCACAGAAATAATTCAATGGTGAGTACTCTTTTTAAATGTATTTTTGTGGGTGATTTGAACATGTGGCCAAGTTTGCGTGAATTCCAGAAGGCTACAACATGTTTTGTTTTTTTTTTCTTACTTTTTTGCTTTGAAAAAATAAGTTTCCCTTAAGAACAGTATTTTATTACTGACCTGTTATTTATTACTGATCTGCGTCCTTCTATATTTTCTCTTATGTTCCTCTTTTCCCCAACTGCAGCAAGTATCCTGTGTCAGATTTCCACAGCTTCACTGAAAGCTGTTATTTCTAAGAAAAGAAAAGGTTATTTTAAGACAGTTGGTCCTTAAAGAACTGAAGAAACTCATTCACTAGCTATAAGTTCCTTTCTAAGACCAAAATTGCTGTATTTGTGATTATTTTAAGAAACAGCCTGGAGAAAAATTTTGAACCTAAAGATGTGCTATCATTTTCTTTCATAATTACAACAGATTGATGTACATGTCATCATAGAAACTTACATGATTATAGCTTCATTTTATTAACTATTCTTTAAGCTCTTAGGATTCAATGTAGAATGAATTACCTTAGTAACTTTACACATTAATTATTTCATTAAGTATTTCTGGCATTTATAAAAATGTGTATATTTTTATAAAACATGAAGAAAGTTGAATCCAACAGGGACTTTATTTTCTTTGTTTGTTTTTAAAGATTTTATTTATTTGTTTGATAGAGAGAGACACAGCAAGAGAGGGAACACAAGCAGGGGGAGTGGGAGAGGGAGAAGCAGGCTTTCCCACGGAGCAGGGAGCCCGATGTAGGGCTCGATCCCAGGACCCTGGGATCATGACCTGAGCTGAAGGCAGACACTTAATGACTGAGCCACCCAGGCGCCCCCAGGGACTTATTTTCTAAGGAAAACATATTTTCTAAATTTTTATATTTACTTTTCAACTTTGTTGTTCTTTTTGGCACATCATGTATGTTTAATTTATATGAAAACTAGTTTCTTTATGGATCTATAGATCAATCGTTTGGTGGGAATTTTAGTTTCTTGTATTCTTATTTTGGTTCTTTAAGCATTTTTTCCATTTTCCTACTTATTGCAGATTAATACTCTCCATCTTAAATCAGAAGTGGATAAACACTCTTTTTAAGTGTTCTTACCCAAATGACTCAAGTATTTTGATTATAGACTAAACTACAGAGCTCTATGTTCACTCATCTTTGGTTTATGAATGTGACTATACAGTGCATATCTAAATGAAAATACCCAAATTGTGGAAATTTGGTTGTGTCCCAAACAGTATAGTACAGTTAATGGTTCATTAATGTTAAATTTATGCCTTGTCATGAAGTCTACATTTCTGAAGCAAAATCATTCTAATCTTTAGCCAAGCTTATAATATCAAAAATTATGACTCATTTATAACTCCATTATTTTGGAATCAAATGTATAATTAAGCTATTGCTGAAAATGACTTAGTAGAAGAAAAAGATGATCTGGCTAAAATCCTAGTTCCTAGACCACTGATCTTTTCCAGCAACAGGAATGATGGGTTCAGATGGAATGGGAAGTGCTTCTAGTAAAGGAAAGAAGCTTTAAAAATGTAGACTCTCTGGAAAGGTTAGTGGAAAGGATGAAGGTGAAAGTTTTTACATGATACCACAAAACACTAATTTTAGGCTTTTCACATTCAAGTCAAATGTGCAGAAGAAACCAGGAATGCAAGCAAATCAGTTTGCATAAAAGCTCTTATTTAGAAGTGGGCTAATATATTAGGGCGCCTGGGTGTCTCAGTCAGTTAAGTGTAAGACTCTTGGTTTCCACTCAGGTCATGATCTCAGGGTAGTGAGATTGAGCATGGTGTTGAGCTCCACATGCTCAGCACAGAATCTGCTCGAGATTCTCTCTCTCTCCCTCTGCCCTTCCTCCTGCTTGTGCTCTCTCTAAATAAATAAATAAATAAAATCTTTTTTAAAAATGGGCTCATGTATTAGATAACTAATTATTAAATACTTAGTAGGAAAAAAGTAAAAGGTATACTCCCTGTTCTCTGACTCCTCTCACCTACTTAAATCTGAGATGTTCTGTCCACACTTAAAAAGGTCAGGAATCTTAGTCTCTTTCAAGTTTTTCAGTTTTGGTATATTAAAAAATGAAGTGATGCCAGAGACAGGAAGATGGTGGTGGAGTAGAAGGGTTCTAGGCTTACCTTGTCCCACGAATACAACTAGAAACTGTCAAATCATACTAAATACTAAATCAAACTGAAGACTGACAAAACAAACTCCAAAATTAAAGGGAGAGAAGAGGCCACATTGAAGAATGTAGGAAGTGTGGAGATGTGGTTTAGGGAAGAAACAAATCCTGGCTGCTGCAGAGGAGAGGTAGCCATGGTCACAGAGAAGGGCGAGAGAGAGAGAGGAGCACATAGGGGAACACACAAGGAGAACATCTCCCCATAGCCATTGGCTTGGAAAATGAGAGGGGCTAAATTTCATGAGTTCTTGGAAACAGCAGGGCTTAAAGACTGAGTTTTAAAGGTCAGCAGGCTTGGCTGGAATAGAGCCTGGAGGGTACTGTGCTGCTCTTGGAAAGAAGGCAGGCAAACAACCCGGGGACAGATGGTGTGGAAACAGCAATATGAAGAGTGCTTGGAGCACACAGTGGGGAGGTTATTTGCTCTTCTTGGAGTGCAGCCCAGAGAGACAGCATTCATGGAGAGGCCTCTCTGAGAACAAAAGGAGCTGACCAACACCATTTCCCTCCCTGGCCCCTCAGCATAAACACAGAGCCACTTATGGGAAGATACTGGCTGCGTAACTTGGTTCCACCAAGCCCAACCCCCAGGTGCGCTGGTGGAACTGCCCTTCTCAGTCACACTTACCTCAGGTGTAGTGTGGTGGCCCTTCCCCCCAAAGACTAGCACAAACCCTTGCCTACACCATGTCTCCTCACCAGGGAGTTTTATAGGGCCTCAGTTCCAGTGGAGGTGGTGATTGGTCTCATTTCACAAGCAGACCAAAGAAAATTAGTGAAAACTTAGCACATTCAGGCCAGGGATCAAACACTGCCCACAGCAGGCAAGGAGAGCCTCTGTAGATGACTGGCTTGAAGGACAGAGCAACCAGACACAACAGCAGAGCACAGGCAGCACACACTGGAGACATTCCCTGGTGTGCCAGGCCCTGGGCACTACATGCCCTCTTCTTCATAAGGCCATTACTCTCAGGAGCAGGATACATAAGTGGCTTTTCTAACACAGAAGAAGGCAAAATGAGAAGACAAAAGAATTTATCCTAAGTGAAAGAACAAGATAAGGCCACGGCCAGAGATCTAAGCAAAATAGATATAAGTAATATGTCTGATGGAGAATTTAAAGGTATGGTCATAAAGATACTGGACTTCAGAAGACAAGGGAGGACATCACTGAGACCCTTACCACAGAGATAAAAGTTAAAAGAATTAGAGAGGAAGAGTGCAATAAACAAGATTAGAAACACATTGATACAGGCTGGAAGAAGCAGAGGAATGAATTAGTGACCTAGAAGACAAAGTAATGCAAACCAGTGAAGCTGAACAAAAGAAAGAAGAATTACACAAAACGAAAATAGACTTAGGGATCTCAGTGATTCCATCAAATGTAATAACATTTGTATTTTAGGAGTCCCAGAGTAAGAAGAATGAGAAAAGGGGGCAGAAAATTTATTTGAAGAAATAATAGCTGAAAACTTCCCTAATCTAGGAAAGGAAACAAACATGCAGATCTAGGAAGCAGAGAGAACTCACATCAAAATCAACAAAAGCAGGCCCACACCAAGACAGATTGTGATTAAATTGCAAAATAAAGTGATTTAAAAAAAAATCTTAAAAGCAGCAAAAGAAGTCAGTAACATACAAAGGAAAACCCATAAGGCTAGCAAGAGACTTTTCAACAGAAACTTGGCAAGCCAGAAGGGAGTGGTATGATATATTCAAAGTGCTGAGTGGGAAAAATCTCCAGGCAAGAATATTCTATCCAGCAAGACTCTCATTCAGAATACAAGGATGGTAAAGAGTTTTCCAGACAAACAACAACTAAAGGAGTTTATGACCACTAAACCAGCCCTGCAAGAAATATTAAAGGAGACTCTGAGTGGAAAGGAGATACCAAAAGTGACAATTTGAAGGTAGGAAACACAAAAGCAGTAAAAATGAATATTTTTGCAAAAAGAAAAACAGTGAGGGAACTCACAAAAAAGGATATGAAATATAATAACATACACCTAAAACATGGGGAGGAGAGGAGAAAAGAATGGGTTCAGATTTAAACAGCTATCAACTTAATATATAGACTGCTGTATACAGAAGAGGTTATATACAAACCTAATGGTAACCATATATCAAAAACTACTAATAAATATGCAAAAAAATAGAAAAAGAAATCCAAATATGTCACTAAAGAAAATCAGCAAACTATGAAAGACAAAGACAATAAAGGATCAGAAAAAAATTTTCAGAAACAGTGACAAAACAAGTAATGAAATGGCAATAAATACATATCTATCAATAATTACATTGGACATAAATGGACTAAATACTCTAATCAAAAAGACATAGGGTGACAGAATGGATAAATAAACAAGGTCTATCTATATGCTGCCTATAAGAGACTCATTTTAAATCTGAAGACACCTGTAGATCAAAAGTGAGGGGATGGAGGAACATTTGTCATGCAAATGGATGTCAAAAGAAAGCCAGAGTAGCAATACTTCTATTGGACAAAGTAGACTTTATGTTGTTGTTTTGTTTTGTTTTGTTTTTTGACAAAGTAGACTTTAAAACAAAGACTGTAACAAGGGACAAAAGGCACTATGTCATAATAATGGGGACAGTCCAACAGGAAGATATAACAGTCATAAATATGCACCAGACATGGGAGCACCCAAATACATAAAACAATAGGAAACACAAAAGAACTAATCAATAATAATAATACAATAATAGTAAGGGACTTTAACACCCCACTTATATCAATGGGCAAATCATCTA